CAATTAATCCGCCTTTCATCCACTGCGTATTGAGTCTGCCCTATGCACGCCAATCAACCGAATCTTCAAAAAATCAGTGCCTTTCGAGCCGTTAAAGATCTATAAGATTCACCCTACGCGCCGCTTACAACCAGTAATTTGATAATGTATAGGCTGTACCAGCCAGCATTGGTTATGCGACGTCGCACCTGCAGCAGCTTGCGACGATGCGGGTGATGCGTGCAAACTCTCTTACGCGAAAGAGCACGTCGCATGCGACCGTGCATTCTCGCAAGGCATACCAGCGCGGAACCGATGCTGGTTGATACAGCCTATAACTTCGCGCTTTTGCCGCAAAGCTTTTATGAAAGCCTCATAGTTATCAAGGTAATAACAGTGTTTCTGTTTTTTCTTCATTTCTTTCGTGATTTTGTAACTTTGGTGAATCTGTAACTATTTCCTCGGTTGATTAGCGTGCATAGGGCAGACTCAATACGCAGTGGATGGATGACGGATTAATGGCAGTTTCTTCTCACGGTTATTACATTGGTATATGAGCGACCTATGTTCGTCCTTTTTCATAGAAACGGTTTGTAGGCTGCCCTTAGGGTTATTTTTCTTCAAAATATCGATTTGTAGGGGTTCGCTGAGGCATTGTGGCCCATGAAGGATTTTTCAATATGTGGGCGTGGGCACTTTCTTGATATCGGTTTATGGGGGATTGTAGGGTAACTACAACTGCAAATTCTATAAGTCTATAAGCGGTATATAGGGCAGTTATATCCTGTTAAAGGATAATATCTCGGTCAGCGGCCTCGTAGGTCAGCTTTTCTTATATTATTGGATGGTGAGAGCTTACAGATCAATATTTTTGCAATAATTACCGATCTGTAAGCGGCCCACAGGATAGTAGATACTTCCTTCAATAAGTGTAAGTGGCCAGTATAGTTTTTTAAAGTTTCTAGGGGGGGGGGGGGAGGGGGGAGGAAGGGAGTAGGGCAGTCGCGTAAAATACCGATGTATGAACGGTACGCATGGTTGTCTTTATTAAATATCGCTTTGTAGGCTTTTCTTAGGGCTGTATTCTCGAAACATTCTGAAAACGGCCCACAGTTCATTTTTTCAATATCAGTCTAACCCATGGGCTACTTTACCCTCAGGTATGGTTTGTAGGCTACTTGTAGGCTCTGTATTTATGGGTATAAAACTGTATGCTACTTTCAATAGTTATGAGCTAATTTATGTGACTATTCTTTGCATCCAAATGATTTTGCCTTGACCAGCTGTAAGCGGTCCTTAGGGTCGCTAGTTTTTCTGTTATGAATACTTGTTCTATCCGTTGTTCTCATCAACATTGCTCTTAAAGGCAGTGTCCAGGCAAGTCTGGACACATGGGGCTCTCACGTGGATAGTAATTTTGGGGCCCAACTAAGCCACTGCGCAACCGGCAGCTCAGGTAGTGCTCCAACGGCTGAGATATTCCCCTTGAAACTGGACTTCACGACTTGTTTCGCACGGATTCGTGGCGCAAAGCGTGCATCCTGGCGCGAAACCAGACACACACACACACACACACACACATACACACACACACACACACACACACACACACACACACACACACACACACACACACACACACACACACACATGTAAACAACCCTTAACCCGTTATTATAAGTCACGAGTTGTTATAAGTCATCATTCGAAGCGATGAAAGAGGCATTGGAGAGGCAAGCCTTTTCGTCTCTTGAAAATAAGAAAAAAGACTAGAGTGCATTGCTATCTCGGAGTCATCGCAAAAAATGAACATGCACTTCGCCTATCCACATTTTTGAGAACTTGCATCTATGCATATGAGTAGGGTTGCAATAATCAGCGCTCACCGTTTCACTTGGAATTCAAGGTCATGGATCATTAGAGCACAATCAATCAGTGTGATTACTCAGAGCTTCCTTGCCAAAACAGGTTTGATATGTATACTTTATAAGGCCTAACGTCTCGGCATCAATGCCTTCCTTAGAGGCCCGAATTTAAAAGCAGCGTCCGGGCAAAGTTTCGAGTGGAATTTTTTTCGCTACTTGAGCTTATTCCTTCCACTAATTCCAAAAATGCAGCTTGGAGAGCACGAAAACGCCTGCCGCCAAGGTTAGGGTGCCTTCATACCGCGCCGGCAGCCGCCGCTAGCAGCCCGTAGCAGCCGCCAGCAGCCCGCAGCAGCCGCCAGCAGCCCGTGGCAGCCCATAGCCGCCGCTGGCCGCCTTTGTTATAGGAGCAAAATCGTCAAAATCTTACTACATTAAGTGCTCCTGCCTACGCTTTTCATCTCCTACGCTTATTTCTTCTTATTATTGCTAATATGCAGTCCAACTCTCCACAATACATTTGTGTTCATTGTTCTGTTCCGCACATTGTATCTTATCGCGCTCACATTCTTTTGCAATCTGTCTTAATTAAAAAGATGTGAGCGATTATCAAAGCAAGAAGAACTCACCCGCAAATGAATCCCGGCGAACTTGCGAAATAGTAGAATGCAAGTTACATATGCGCCGATAGCCAAGAAAAAATTAAAGCAAAAGCATACTCAAAAAACAAATTGCACACCTGCTGGAAACCGACGCATCTAAAGAGCGAATTACACCGGAAAGAACCTCTTACCAACTATGGTTCAACAGGATGAACGACGAGGTAATGACAACAATGGGCACATATATGATATATGGTCAAACTGCGTACTAGCGGCAAAAAAGAAAAGCGTAGAAGATGGAAAGCGTAGACAGGAGCACTCAAAGTAGTAAGGTTTTGATAATTTTGCTTACATAACGAAAGCGGCCAACGGCGGCTACGGGCTGCTAGCGGCTGCTGGCGGCTGCTACGGACTGCCACGGGCTGCTACGGGCTGACGGCGCGGTATGAAGGCACCCTTAGGACGCAGAGTCTTTGTGGGATCCTACGTATCGAACTAACTCGTCCCGGTCGCCGCGGCGTTCCAGTGGCCACTTCTGAAGCGGATTTTTCGCTTCGGAAGCAAATTGGTGTATTGCCAATTGGGCAAGAGCCTTACCAGAACGGGCGCCCCTGTACTCTACATTTTCGTATCTGCCCGAACGCTGCCTTTGAGTCATTCACTTTTGCCTTACGCTCTGCACGGTCAAACCTCTCCTTCAAATTTGAATATTCGTTCGTTTTGAGCGAAACCAGCTAGCCTTTAATTCACAAACATCTCACCACTGATCACGCTGACAACACGCCAGGGCCCAGCGGTGGTTGCGCTTTCACAAGCTGGATATCGTTTTTGGTCCGAAAAAGCAAAAAGAAAGTCGTTTTTCGGGGTCCGGGGCAGAGCCCCGGGATTTTTTCCTGTAATTTACGAAATGCGCACGTAACATACACTAGAGTGCGTACGAGAATGTTTTGTTGCAATGTTTTACAGAGTCTGGCGTGTTTTAAAAAAAGTTAGTTTAAGTGCCATTAACTATAGGTAATCTCATTTTCCACTCAAGGACTGGAAACAAGAACAACACCTTGGAGATATTCGCCCTTTGAGTAATTCAAAGAGGAAGCTTCTGCATTTGATATGGCGCTTATGCGAAAAAGTAGACGAAGAAAAATATGAGAAAGTTTCCAGACAGTCTATAAAAATCAAATTCTAAACAGTCTATAAAAATCAAATCTAACTTGTTTTTCCGTCATGTTTTCCCAATCTTTACGGAAAAAATTCGGAAGATTCAACATAATAAGGCAAAATTTTATGCATCTTTCAAATCTTTCAAAACAAAACAGTTTTGAAAACTAAATTATTTTGGGAACACTTCTTATCGAAGCTTTCAAACCCAAAGTCAAGTCGCTTTGTACGCTAATATGTGCTGATCAGTGGAGGTTCGAGAGATGTTCACGAGGCGGGGAGGAAATGGGAGGGGGGAAAGGAGTTCTTTGTGTGAGGTGGCATGGCTTAAGCCGCGCCGTGAAAATTTCACGGAGTTAATTTGAATGTTCGAGAACTTCAAGAAATTATCATTAGTAGCAAAAAGTCACTTGCGCAATTTTCACTCATTCCTGTACTTGTCCTTCGAAGGGCGATCACAAATTCTTAAAAGTTCAGTGAATTTGTGTGATAACGCCACAAAGGCTGTAAAAAGTAGTTTTGCTGTAAAAATACTTGGATCCACTGCAAAAAGGTGTAAATGTAATACCTCCCACTGCTAAAAGGTCGAACTCTGATGGTTTTCATGATTGCAAATTCATTCCAGGCCTCAATTTGTTGAGAATAATGACATCGCAAAAATAAATTATCAAATCTATTGAAGAAGTCATAGAAAACGAAATCCGCTTCGAAGAGCTAGGCTTTGCTTCACATTAAGGATGTTTGCTGGCTTTGGAAAGTTGAATTAAGTAAACAAGTGAAGTACACAAACAAATAACGAGCGGTATTATAAGTAAACACATGCCTTGGATTCCATCCGTCCAGCTTTTTCTCGCTTTTGACGTGCTTCAATGACTCAAACTCTAGTAAAACCTACGATTTTGTGCTCCAAAGAACAAGTCGCTAGCGCGCGGGAACTCAAAACAGAGTTTTGATATGTTGAAAATAACAAATTGGGTCCGTTTGCAACGCACAAGTAACGATACGGCACCAAATTTGGCCTATAGTGAAGCAATAGGGAGTGCAGGAATTGTATGAAAATTTATGAAAAACTTATGTGAGTTTGGAAAATGGTAAGAGATTTTCCAATTTAGGTTGCTCTCGCGCAACCTGGGAGCAACCTGGGGTTGTTCCCTGCTTTTCCTCACATAATTTTTCAGATTTGTTTACATAAGTGAGATCTTAATTGTTAATTTTACTATAAGTGCAAATCCTGTTCCAAAACTAACAAATCCTTCACTTACTCTAACCCAAAATGATCTCTGTATGGCAATGTGAAAGATTGGAAAGCGCGCTCCAATTGCACGGCACTTACTTAGACCGGCAAAGCAAAGAATTCAAATCTTTATACTGAATTCTGATTTCATATTTCAACGCTATGCTCGTACTCCTTCTTTTGGTGATTTCAATCTTTGTCATCTTTCCATTTCAGATTTCCAATTAAGCAGAGGCATACTGCACTGCGCGAGAAGGAAAAAAAAACTGAAGAGGCTTCCAAACCTGGAGAACACAATGATGGAATGAAGAATGAGGTCTGTTCTTTTGTTCTAAATCTGGTAAGTGACGCTGGATGATTTGTTACGCTGTTATCTAGGCTAAGATGATGGGAAATTTGATGTTTAGGACTTTCTTTGTCACAAGTTTCAGTTTTGTTTATGTTCTTCACAGGTCCGAAAATGGCAAAGTGTGATATCGAGTTTTTAGATGCTAAGTGAGCCCTGCTACGTTGCATACACAAGTACTGATGCAAAGCTCATCGTTGCAGCTCACTTCTGTAAAAATCTACGTATGCTTTTACTCCGAGGTGAGTAGTTATTTGCTAAAGTTTTCATCTAGCTGAGTTTTCCTTGATTGCTTGCGGATTTCCTGACAAGATCTCATTTGTTTTGTGAAGGCTTTCGTAGACCCTTCAGCCAAGTAATGCTTGGGCTTCTTGAATGGATGCTGATTGAAAGTAGCTATCAGTCTAAGCGGCAGCTCACAATGGTTTTGCAGAAGAGGTACGATTTGGGCCAAAGTGGGTACAAAAATTTCTTACCAATGATTTAGCTGCTGTTTGGGCGATAGCTCACTTGAAACACACCTATCAGTACCATACAAGATTTTGAGCACTATAATTTGTTAAATACTTTGTAAAACGTAGCGTCGTAGTGGCTAGGCAGCTTCAGACATGCTGCGCAGATATGGATTCATTCAAATTTACTTTGCTGCATACGTTTTTGCCCAATAGTTTGAGATGGCAGCTTCGTCACTATTGCAGATCTATTATTGTCCACCCCACGCAAGCTTTTAGCATCGTCCCTAGCGACGATGTAGTGTTCCAGTAATGTAACGTAACGGAATGGAGCAAATATTTAGAGTTGAGTGAAATAACGTCGCCCATACCTCTTTTTTCTACACAAGAATTTAGTAAACGAGTTTCTCTTTCCCTCCCTCCCACTCCTTCCCTTTCTCTCTCTCTCTCCTCTCTATCTCTTTCTCTGTTTCTGTGTCAAAGATACAGGAGCGTGTGAAATTTATTGCAGGCTCTTGCTTACTTTCAGGTGGACGATTATGATTGCTTGTTGTCATGTCTCTTACATGTTTACGCAGTCGTGACTCTTCCAATAAAGATCTTGGCAAAGCATGTAATAGGTTAGTTTCAAAAGAATGGAAAGCGCAAAGAGGCCTAGGTACAAGTCTTTTCAACCATGTTTTTAGAACACCACTGATCACCGCACTCGACCTCAACTGATATGTGAGAATACAAGAAACTAACTTCAATGAATTTCCGCTTTTTAGCCAGCGATGTTAAGTCATGTAGCCTCGGTTTTCTTTTCAAAAGAGGCGACGGTAAAGCCGATCTTTTAAACGACGCTACATTGGTTGGCGTTCTATTTTTTAGGGCTCCCCCAATTCAATGCTAGTGAATTGTGTTTTTGTTGAATTGAATAAAGTGATATTACTTTTTCTCTATCTCTGTCTCCACTTTTCGTCACATTACGAGCAGTTTCAAAGATAATTTCTGCTTCATTGTGAAATTTTGTGCTTTTTTGGGTATCACGCTCTTTCGAATAGAATCTAATGTATATTTATGCAGGTTGTAGAATTTGGAAAAGCATACTGAACAAAGTTATGGTTACAGCAGGGCAAGCGAAAAGTCCAAAATCTGCCAAAGTCAGCGGAGAAGTTTGTGAGGTGTTTTGAAGTTTAAATTAAGCGCTGAGTCCTTTTTGTTTGCATGTACCTGTCCGTCACAAAATGACGGGTCAAAAATAGGGGTCAATGAGGAAGTCGTAAAAATTTTGGGCTTCAAAGGGGATGCCGTTTTTGAAATCCCGGAATGCAACCTCCTGCCAAGCCCTGCAACACGCTGCGACGGCAGTGCTTAGCTTCACGTATAGATGATGGAAGTATGAAGGCAGTCCTACTAAGGATCTGCTTATATAATGTGGGCGTTATAGCTGGCACTACGGTAGAAGCATGAGGTCACTTGTGATAGAGTATTGTTCATTTTTGCCATTCATTTTGGGTTCCCTTGATAGATTGAACGACGCTGTCAACTCTCTGCGAGCGAATATTCTACTTTTAGAGCTAAGACTGTACACTCAACATGAAAACATTTTCGCAGTGATCAACTTTCTTGTTTTTTCCTAACGGGGCTGTTATGCTTTCCCTTTTACTCGTTAGATGTTCGTGTACGCGTACATAGTGTGGCCGCCCGTTCTCGCCAATATAGGTAGCGTGACAGTCTAGGCATTCAAGCCCGCATACTGCTTCAGTTCTTACACAGTCTCCTTGTTTTCCGTAAGGGCAAATAATGCAGCATTTGAATGTGCAGGCGATATCGTATAATCTATGACGTATGAGTTAATTTCTGATGTTATTCCGCGGTATATTGGTGAGAACGACATCACGTTTCGGCTGCGCTCGCAACTAACGACTTCGTAGTGCGTGTGTTACCCTGTCTGAGACGAATGGTAAGCAGAGAGGAATTATGTTAGATCGTCATCAGATTGTGCAGTTGTCCTTCGAATACGTGTAGACCTGGCCGAACAGTAGCCGTTTGAGGCTGCTGTCGCGGACGCCAGCACTCCAGACTTCTGTCGTTCACTCTCACCACTGCAGATGTTAGTCGCCGTTCGGAACATACTATGCAAGATAGCACGTTTAACGGCAATCGGGTGGGCGGACTTGGCATGCAAAAGGATGTTCTTACAGCTGTCTACCTACCATATATGTATCGTACCACCGGCCAACATCAGTTGTGTGTTGAGATAGGGCAACCAACCTTCGTTTGGTCTCTCTCTGGTGAATTTTATGTACTGGGATTGTTGATTTGATACTGCAAAACACTAGTCCATTTCGAACTGAGTTGATGTAATTAACGGCCGTCTATGTATCTGCACTACATAAGTAGTCTTCTAGATAACACCGGCTTCTCTATTTTGCTCATAAAGCATCTAGCAACACGGGCGCTAATGCTGACCCATTGGCATCCTCTTACCTGTGAACAGAAGTCTCCAGAACACTTGTTTTATTGCACTTGAGACACTCCCTTCGAGAGTTATGAGTCGCGTCTAACTGAGTCCATACGTCGACATACTTGCACTGTGCTCATCAAGCATCTCGGAAAGAGCCTCTAGTGCTTCGCTGTTGGAGACATTGGTGTACAAACGACACGTGTAATGCTCTATGATGCAACTTTAGTCAAAATTTACGTCGCAGTCGGTCAAGAAATGTCTAGTGTTTATCAGATGGGAGGGAATTTTTTTCGAGAAGTGGGCCGACAGTTTTGTTGAGAAACCATGATATCCTCAACAAAACTGTCGGCCCACTTCTGTCAATTGTCTCCTGTCAATTGGGCCGTTGATGCACCTGATAATTGACCGGATCTTGTATTCTGTGGCAGGCGCGCAACGTGTTTTATGGGTTTTATTTTGTTCACTCAAAAGTCTCTCGAATTTTCATAAAGTGTAAATTTAATGTTAGACCGCATACCAGCGCAGATTTGCTTGGGCTTTCTTTTAATCCTCTTCCAGCTTTCGTTGTTCATTAATCGTCTACATGCTCCTTCCCTCGTTTCATATTTGAGTAGAGATGAGTATAACAAATGTTATTTCTGCTTGATAACCACGGCAGAGACATTCTGGTATAACTTTTTTTATTTTTGGATGATCTTCTGGGCAGGTTGCATGTAACTCCTGCTCTATTGTTTGTGATGAATTTCGGAGCAATGGTCATGGCACGGCATCTTCTGAAGAAGATGAGAGGCTGTCACGTGACTGTTACTTTCTGGCGAAGTGCTAGAATTTCTTTGACTATTGAGAACGAATGTGGCTACACTTCACGAAGTATCTCATAGGCTGTCTGTTCATAAAACCTGGGCATGTTCAGTATATCTCAGAGCTTTCTTTTCCAAAGCAGGTATGATAGGAATAAACTTTATTCGGCCTAACGTTTCGGCATCAGTGCCTTCCTCAAAGGCCTGAAAGTAAAGTAATTCACCTTTATCTCATATGATTACTGCCCTTCAAAGTGATAGCAAAGGGTTTGAGCACACATTATGCTGTGCTGTACAGTAGAGAAGCAAAAATGATTAAGACGACATCGAAACAAATTTTCGATGCAATCTATTAGCAATCGCTAAGGAGCTTGCCGTGAATGATCCTCAATGACACTAAACAGATGATCCAATAATTATTCTTTGCGTCACTAAAAAAACAACACTTAACTCCTCTGGATAAATGTATTGTCTTCAAATCAACGATTCACTTCAGAAATCACAATCGGCCAAAAATCTGGCTGAAAGACGTTAACACAACATTTGCCGTAACCAAATATACAGACGAAGATGATCAGAATGGAGTTCCGAATTATGAAGCATACAGAAACGCATGTGATCTAATGGCCCTTAAGAAATGAAAACTATGAGAACTAAAGGAAGTTGCTGCTCGCTTTTGTAGCACAAAAAGCCAGTTTGTTTTACCGTGTCTGCTGTGAGTTCAAAAAAAGCATCATGCACGATGATTATAGCCTGGGCTTGCATTTACATGTTTAGACATAAATTCACAGCATGTTATAAAAAAAATTTTGGGCGTTTTTTCATCAAGCCTTGAGCGAAGTAAGTATTTGCATCTGCGATACATTATTTTAAAAAAACATACGATTTTTTGACATCTAACTTTTCGGTAACAAAATAGTCTTGAGCACTATATTTCAAAATTCATTTCAGTTTGAGCATTGCAAAAATTGATTGATGGCAATGCGACTGGGGTAATTTAATGATTGTTGCGTGATTAAACAAAGACTTCCTCCAAGCCGATTGGCAAAATGATCTGAAAGCTCCGAAAGCACGTTGAATTGTTATTCGACACACTTGCTCACAAGCAACGGACACACTTAGTCACGAGTTGCGGGTTGGTTTAAGGACTAACAAAATTTTTTGTTACAATCTGTCAAGAGATTTTCTTTATCTAAATTTCCAAAGCTATTTATTAGGTCGATGCAAAAGTAAAGCGCGTTTTGCGAGTTCTCACTTTGGCGTGCTATAACTTTCTAAAAAATCCATATTTCTCGGTACGGCAGAGGCAAGTCGGCAAGTCCATCAGAGGCACCAAACCTCTCTCTATACAGCACACATTAACTTATGCTAACATCGCAAAACGGTGGAAAATATGGATTGGTAAGCAAAAAAAAGTTTTTTCGTAAACTTCGTTTTTAACTGATCATAACTTCCTTCAAGATTTGTCGGTATAAATGAAAAGTTGACTGTCTTGTAGCCGTAAGCTAGTAGTACAAACAAAGTTGAAAGGGGCTCAAACAAAGAAGACTTGCGAAAAGGAAAAAATAATATTCAAAATTGTCCGATTTTTCGACATTTTTTCGTAGCCCTCAAAATCCCAAAATATGGAGATTTTTGATTTTCTGTAAACTGAACAGCTTCCACGTTTCTGCAAAAACTGTCAACAACAGGCCCACCCTTACGCTTATGGAAATGAGCGAAGCTTTGGCGATTGCCCTCTTCAAAGGAAATTTATGGCCCACAGAATAGTCAAAACCATCACTCATGTTGAGGCGCCGAAATTTCATTCTGATTGATTTCTGAGAAAACAGTAAAGCGTGCATAACGTAGAAAATTTCTACTACAACAGTAGTCAAATTTGCAAGAGAATGCGTTCACTGGCGCCCAAATTCTGGCTAAAAAATTAAGTGCTATGAAATTCTGGTTTCGAGTGCGGTTGTATGAAACTCTAGAAATTTTTAACGAATGCTAGAAGCCTCTTATAACCACCTTTGAATAGAGCATGAAAGAAGCTTCTTAATGGTATGCTGGTTAAGTTTTATGGGAGAAACTTTGATGGAGAAAAGCTATCTTGAAAGAAGAGCTAAAAAACGCGCATTACTTTTGCACCAACCTAATACATACAAGTGATTAAAAGAAGCACTCGCATGTGACCAATACAGGGCAAAATGCTCATAGTGCTGAAATGAACATGGGCATGCAATGACTAGAAGAAAGCCTCGAAGAAATAAGCATATTTAACGACAAATACTCAGATAATCGCTGGGGGCAGGCGGGCACCGGAAAAATAGATTGCAGATTTCTCGCACCCCGCTCGCGGACTTTTTGGAAAGCAATCAGGACTTTTCGGAAGACCGCTTGCTGAGTCAGCGGATTTTTGAGAGACCGCCTGTTGAATTTTTTTCGCTCTTATCTTTTGCAGATATATTGCTGAATCTCTGAGGAATCGAGAACTCAGCAAGCGGTCTTCCGAAAAGTCCTGATTGCTTCCCAAAAAATCCGCGAGCGGGATGCGAGAGATCAGCAACCTATTTTTCCGGTGCCCGCCTGCCCCCGGCGATTGTCTAAGTACTTGACATATATACGTGTGATAATTTATACAAGTATTGTAGATGGGGCGCAAACTAAAGTTAAGAGATGCGATGCAGCGTGGAGAAGAACCTGGTACATCTTATGATCACAAAGAAGAAGATGCCCTAGAAAGAGAGAGTAGTGCGATTAATGTGATGCAAGCTGATCCACACCGAAGTCTCAAGCTATACAAAGTTTCGGGGCTAGTAAAGCAGCGAAGCAAGGTACTTCACGAACGGCTACGCCAAAAGCAACAACGTCTACTTGCTACATGCAGCTTGGAGACGAGGCTTTCAAAGATTGAATTTGAATTAAAATTCAAAAGGCAATTTAAGGAATTAAGAAAATCACATACGAATAACTTCTATATGAATGTTATAGGTGGACCAGTGGATACAGTGTTCAAAACTGCACCAAATGTCGAACTTATCTTCTGTTATGAAATGGATGATCAAGCACCGGGATACTATTAAAAGGACTACATTGTGCCAAAGAAACAAAAGAAAAGTAAACATTGACTATTACTCGTGAATTATGCCATGAGTATTAAATTACTGCACCTAATAATTCAAAACGGCAGGAAAAAGTGGACATCGAATTGAAGTATTATCGTAAATTGGATGGAAGGAAGCATCCGTTGCTTAAAGAATTTGAAGAATATATTTCTGAAGCACTGGTAAACACTATGTTGAAGCCGTCTATATGTTTACGAACAAGCGCTAACTCAAATTTCGTCTTTGTTTAGCCGGATGCTTTGGCAAGGAAAGGCAATCCATTGAAAAACGGTACATGGGGTTATGTGGCCTATATAAATCGGTTTACGCTCGCAGCTATGAGAGCGCGAAAACGGTGCGTTGTTTCTTAAACTAAGAAGCTTTTTTTGGCATTCCGTATTTCCAGAATAAACCAAACAGTAACAGTCGACGATGCAATCTATTCGTGCGAAATTGTGGCACATATGAGCCTAAAAACAGAAGGGTTAGTGTAAGCTCTCGTAAAAGTATGATAAAAGCTCTTATTGCCTTCAATAAGTTCATAGAGCAACGACTTGAACCAGGTGAGTGACGGACTCGATGCTTTTGATACTTTGAGCATTTTGTTACTGATTCATTTACAAGTCTTCGCTATCGATTTACAAGGATTTGACATGTTTGTAGTAGCCGGTCGTGAACGTCGCGAAGTTTTGAAACATGGCAAAAGACTATTTCTAAACTATACAGTGAGAATGAATGTCGTAGAAAAGCAAGCGCTATCGTTTCAGGGTATTGTACCCAGCAAAAAAAGTGTGTCAGTTTATCTGCTTTTTGTAACGTTATTTCATACATATAACTTGCAGAAATGTGAACCTTACTGTGTTGCTAGAGCTGTGGTTGAGCATAAAGGAGTCGAAGAAACTGTAGAAAATAATGTAGATTTTTGAACAAAAAAAGACTTTGCGGCCAGCACAAAACATCTATGTTATGGGGTTTGTCTTTGTGCGCTTTTGCGTCGCTGATTTTTACGATAACATAATTCTAGTGCAACACTGCAATACAAGCAGGAATGAGTGTATCTACAGAATGATGTACGGAAGTACATGTCGGTCCGAAGAAGAAGATGTAACTTCGGTGAATGAATGGGGCGAACAGGGCTCTAAGAGTTCTTCATGGATGAAATTGGAGAAAGACTTTGGGCGAGTGCATCCGTTGTTGCACCATTGATCTACTGCATAGACTAATATTACGTACATGTTTAGATCAGCAGCTATCCTGTCTCAAAAAACAGAGCTAGGGCTGCACAACAAAAGCTTCCATTTTATGGACAATAATTGTTCTTGATGAAGAGTCGAAAAAATGGATGATTATTATATAAAGTTATTACGAAATCAGTGAGTTAAAATCAAATCAAGCATACTTTTTACACACTAGCAGGCTGTTTTCCTTTCTTGCAGCATTATTGAAAAGCAGCAGTTAGAAGGAATGACGGAGCCACTTGCACCGTTTTTCTACAATATAGCGGAACGCGCGTACATAAGATGACCGTCCCTCATGTAATGAAACAGTTTTTGCGAGATAGTGGATTTGAAGATTGAACCTTTCTTGTAACACGGTATGTTGCTAACACGGAGTCTGCGTCAAATTCGTACTCAAACTGCTCTCTATCGTTTGCGATTTTTTATGCTTCAAACAAGGCATGCTATAGCATATTTGCAGTAGGATCATGATTATAAGCAAAAAATAGATGGAAAAAATTGTGCAAATATGACAGGTATATCAAATTTAGCATAACTTACATCGAAATCTCTGCCACAGGACATTCGCAAGTAATGCAACTAATAAACTATCAGAGACGGTACCTATACAGCTGCGCTTTCGGTTATGTAAAGATGCGGACTTTCGGACGAAAAGAGGACGCTAAATATCCTGAACTAGTTCGAGAAGTAAAGAAAAAGTTCAATCTTGCGGAGAAGGTGTAACTGTGTCATCACAATTCTACATCTGCTAAACTCATCTTGCTGGGTTGTTTTAGTTTGGAACGCCGTAAACATCTTGCCGATTTGGAAAGAGGAGATTTAAAAAAAAAATGGATGACTTTGACGAGGATGATGTAGAAGAGGAAGGCGATGAGGAAGATGCAACAAGAATTCTTGTGGAAAAGAAAGGCAATTAGGAAGACGCAACGAGAATTTTTGATGTCGCAGGAAATAAGGGAGATGGACAAACTAAACCAATCCCACGTGCTAGTGAATTTGTGCATTTTATACGAAAATTAAGATCATAAATTTTAAATTATTAAATTTAGATACGAGACAACGAAGTTCGCAACCGCTTACGGAAACTGAGTCATCGCCACGAAAACGCCCGAGGGTGTCGTCACCAATGGAAGATGTGCCGGGAGAAAGCAAGCCGTTTGTTTTGGTTATTCTACCTTATGCTATGCATTGCAGGCTTGATCAAAAGCTCTGTATTGGACTTAGAGATGGAAAAGTCAGCTCGGAAGAAGGTGACATAGTGTCGTTGGTACTGCAAGCATCGTTGTTTTCATCACTCAAGCAATTCGATCGACCTCCAATGGACAACGACGAGGGACTGGTGCAGCATATCGTATCGTTATAAAAGATGAAGACCACAAAGAAGAAGAAAAAGAGAAAGAAAAAAATCAGTAAGCTGAATTTCAAAATTACGGCGAAAATTAGCGAAGCAAGTACAGAGCCTATAATGAGTGACGTGACAAGAACGACTACGAGTGAAGCCGTCCGTGCTATCCGTGATGTAGCTGACACCACCAGATACACGATTTCCGATCTCGAAAGACGGTTTGAGCCTCTTGATCCAAGTTTGCGCTTGGAAGCTGTGAAACACCTTACACGGGTGGTTTGACAAAGATCGAGATTGTGCCCCAGATCATTTCCTACGTCGATGTCATGCACAGTCTGTACAGGTTGAGAATTCATTTGTTTAGTGGAAACGACAGCATGTTTAAGGACTTTCCGTGGCTTGAGGTGCGTGAGATGCCTACCAGTGGCGCACCGAGGGGGGGGGGGCAGGGGGGGGGGGGCGCCCCCCCCCCGAGAATGGGTCGCGAAATTTTTGAAAGTTGCTTAAATGTGGAATAAAAAAGTGTGCAGAGGACCTGTTTTCACTTGTAAATAATTAAAATAATTTTTAAAAATTTTTAAAAATTCAAATTAGCCTCGTAAAAAAAATTTTTCGGGTTTGGGGTCAGGGGCCCGGAAAAATTTTGGGAAACATCCCAAAAATTTTTCTGGAGTGCGTGGCTGACGCCACGCACCTTCATTAGAAAAAAATTTTTGTCGCGCTCCGCCCCCCCCCCCCCGAGCCGAAATCCTGGGTACGCCACTGATGCCTACCATCAATGGACGAAGTGTTTACGCCAGTAGATATCGCTAAAGAAATGGCGGTTGCTGATTATCGTAAGAAAACTTTCTGAAATAAGAGAGATTTTTAATTTAACGATAATATTGTTTGTATCTAGTGTGGCTATCAAGGACTGGCGGAAGACGTAAAAAATTTTCTCATTAAACTTAATGAAAAGCAACGCCATAAAGTGATCAAGTATTGGCATGGATTTAGAAGAAGCGGTAGCGATTTTATCGTACTAGCACATTGCGACTCATACAAGGCAACAGCAACGCTTGGTCGACTTATCAACCAGTCGATAGAGCACGCAAACCTAGACCTACGTTGTATTCGCTTTGGCGAACGTCGTGTTCGATGTTTGCATTGTTTGGTAGCCAAAGCCAAAGTATCAAGGTAAGGTTGAGCAAAATCATCTCATACATAATGAAAAGTTCTGCGCAATGAAAATAGTTTTACAGGCTGGTGAGCAGTTACTGTGGAACTATGGGAGAAGGGAGAGAAATCCAAACATACCTAGCTTTCCAGACAATTATCCGTGTATATGTCAAATGTACGATCCGGCTGCAGCAGAAGGTGAATATTCGTTATTTATATATTTTGTTCCATTGATAATTTTTGTATGCACACTGATTCACACAGCTCCGTATTCATTTTTACAATCGGCAAGACGCAGCATCCTTTTACAAAGAGTGTGGAATTTTGAGCGGTCTCTCTCAGAGGAGGATCTTAGTTTACATGAAAGGCCTGAATTCGACATTAGGCTGGGTTCATACTGATTCCCATGTTCTGGAACTGTTCCAGAACTGTGCTGCATGCGCTGCAGCCGCCCCGCACCGTTCTGAACGGCGGGAGTTGGAGAATTTTGACCGTTCTCAACGGTTTTTCTTCCAGATTTCGCTCATTTTGGCCTTATTCCTCCACCCCGCTTCCCTTTTTGATCAGCAGAACTTCGAACTCGAAAAGGGGGTTGAAGAATGAGCGCTTTTCTGCGCCGTGTATTCGGAAAGATGGGCTATCGTGCGCTCGTCCATTCTCTCTTCGTGGTTTTAGCTCAAAACTACTTCATTTGTTTCAGGAAGCGGCTGCCTAGTTTCCATAGCCATCTGCCACGAATTAGGGAGTAGGAGAAATCCTGAAATTGCATGAATTGGGACTTGTCTCTTGTTTTTCACGATTTTGGGCGTTCCCAGCCTTTTTCGTTTTTCCATATCGTTGCTTCTCCGTTCTTTCTTCTACCCCGCTTCTTCTAGTGATGAGAAAAGCTGTGAATTTGAAGCGGAGTTGAGAATTGAACGGCCGCTTCCTGGAACAAATGAAGTAGTTTTGAGCTAAAATCACGAAGAGAGAATGGACGAGCCACAATAGCCCATCTTTCCGAATACACGGCGCAGAAAAGCGCTCATTCTTCAACCCCCTTTTCGAGTTCGAAGTTCTGCTGATCAAAAAGGGAAGCGGGGTGGAGGAATAAGGCCAAAATGAGCGAAATCTGGAAGAAAAACCGTTGAGAACGGTCAAAATTCTCCAACTCCCGCCGTTCAGAACGGTGCGGGGCGGCTGCAGCGCATGCAGCACAGTTCTGGAACTGTTCCCGCACAGTTCCCGCACAGTTCCAGCACAGTGCGAGAACTGTGCGGGAACAGTTACAGAACATGGGAATCAGTATGAACCCAGCCTTAGAGAACTTCTATTTCTGGTGACACAGAAAGCGCGCGCAGTAGGTTTGCTGCTGGAAAGAATTCCTGCTGACGAGAGTTGCGTTTGCAATGAGCAGGCGTACTGTTTTCACTAAAAGTGCAAGTATGCACTTTTACCCAGGTTTGGATATGACATTACATCGATGTATATAGGATGTGTTTCCGGACCCTGCCATGTTTTTGGTAAAGGTTGCATCTCCTTTGCCGCAGTTGCAAATAGCGACAAAAGCTGCTTTCAAACACATGGAATCAATTGTTCATATTCTGTACCGAAAGCGGAAGGATCCAAAACCGCTGGTTATTTTGTTAGACGCACGCCATCTTGAGGAAAGCGGTCATCGTTACGGCTGCTGCGTAGCAGTTGTGGGCGAAGAAGTTTACGCAGTGGTAAGCTGGATCGCATGCATAGTCTATGAAGGATTTCGTATGGTTTTGTTTGTAGGAATGTCAGGCGGAAGCCAGAGCTAACGAAATGCCATTGCACTTGGAGTTGTTATAAGCTGGCCCATATACCCGTCATTTTCCATCACTAACAATAGAGCCGTGGGAGACGATACGCCGTAAACCCAAGCTTCATGAACAAATTACGCAGCTCTTGCAAAATAAGCAGTCTCATAAGTACGCGTGCCTTGCAACCTGCACACTAGGTAGTTGTTTGTATTAGAAGCTGTTTGATATCTTATTTGTATCATATGGCTGTCTTTAGTGTGTCATTACACTTGAGTTGTTGTCTATACATTGATTGTGCACCTTGATAATTAGGTTGTTCTCCATTCGCATCATACAGAAAGGATTACGGGGATTATTTCATGATTGTTGCAAAGCACAAACAGCCAACAAATTTGAAATACAGTCGTTTTTAGAGAAAACTTGTTTAGTTTTTCTCTTCAGATTTTCTCTGCATTTTCTTGCTCTTTCGTTCTTCCAGGATTTCTATTCAAATCTGTTTACACATTATGTTTCGTATGGCACTGGCTCGCGCATTTCGAAATTTTTCATCGAATGAATATCGAATAAATTTGAAAATGGAAAATTTTGAATAAACGAATATCGAATAAAATCGAAAAAAAACCCGAAAAAACGAAGTATCAAATAAATTCGGAATTCAGAATTTTTTGAATGAATGAATTCCGAATGAAGTTGGACCAAGAATATCGAATGAGCGAATACCGTTTATATTCGAACATTGGGAGTCGAATTTCGAATAAATATTCGAATAAATTCTCATAACTGTAGAACCATATCTAAACCTTACTGACATATCCGGCTAAAGCCGGTTCATTCATAGTCACCAGCCTCACATCCCCCCCCCCCCTGCCCGGTACCAGCTCCCGCCTTGCAGCACAAAATTTTCCAAAAATCGATAAAATCGGTAAATTAAATTTTTATTCATAATCAGCATTCTTATTTACCCTACTGTACCAAGCTCCAGCCCCGTAGCTCTAGCTTAAGTTGAAGCAGTTGTGCAATATGAGTTTAGCAAGCAATAGTGCTCACTAGTGTGGACCTCTGCGTACCAAAAGCATGAGCAACGTAAAGGAAGAGAAACAAGCATGTCAACATACTTCCAGTAATTGAACGTGAACCAGGACCATGAGCTCGAAACCTCATTGATCGAAAATGCGATCAATCAAAATCCACATCTATCTTTTTACTGTCGCAAGCAGTCGAAGGAATGCGAGTTTCCATACAGTTCAAAGGTGATCACGGCTGGAAAAAGATGCATTATCGAGTTCTGCGGAAAAACGCACACGAGGCGAGCTTGATACTCAGCAGTTGGTTCTAATACAAACTCGAATAATTTGAATACGATCTTTATTCGAATACGAATTCGAGAAAACATTCGAATAAAATCTATTCAAAACCCTGTTTTTTGATTATTCGAGTTTCGAATTTTATTCGAAACCCGTTTTTTGAATATTTGAGTTTCAAGTTATTTTCGAAAATGGGAAAACTTAACGAATATATTCGAATGTTTTATGAATGATCAAATTTTTACTCGATTCGGACCCAAGTATAATGCACAACCCTCTAATAGCTGCGCTGGAAGAGTGACATTGCCGGCGCTAAGCTCCCTAGTTGTAAATATGTTCGATAGTGAGGGATGTCTAATTGCTCGTTGATCGCTACATGCCTACCGGTTTCGCCTACGTACTGATCTTCACATGATTGATACGTCGTACGTAAAGCATTTAAGATAAACTGCTGCTTTGGAAACCTGTAAAAAGCTTCAGAATCAGCTCGGAAAGCTGGATTCAGATGTATTATACTATAGTGGCAACGCAACGTGTCGATGAGAATTGCTAGGTTGTTCCGAAGGTTTGTATGAAAATTTCAATCAAAATTTTGTATCAAAACTTCAATCGCTTATATTTTTATTACAAGACCAACCTCAATGGAGATAATCACCGTGGATTTCAGTAATCTTTTGCCCGTCTGTCGGGCAGTTCTTCGGCGCCATTTCTCCAGAAGTCGAATGGCTGGCGCAGAAAAGTCGTCAAAAGCGATTTTGACATTCTTTTTCTTTCTTTTTTTTTGAAC